GTTGTCTTCTGAGATCTTGGGCTGGATCAGGTTTGGAGACGTCGTTGGGGACCGAGGTGGTCCCCGACTCTAGAGTCAGAATTCAGGATTCTTGATATTCGGAGGTGTGGGAAGGTGCGTCAGTTTCTCACAGTACTTGATTTGAGCATCGTTCAACCGCATCAGCATCAACATTAGAATTTCCCGTCATAAGGATTCCCGGGACGGGGTCGATAAAGATAGCTCTCGAGCTTCTTGCTGGTCCCCATAATGCGTTCCCTCTCCATTTGTTGTTGGGAACTTATAGCATAATGAAAAATTGATACTGCAGCTCGGAGTTTGTAAAGCGTCGTTCTACCGATCAAAGCATTGTATTCATTTTTTATATCCATAATTTTGAAGGTTTCTATAATAACTTTGGAAACTGATCGGGGAGTTCCGAATTGAACTGGGAGTGTGATTTCACCTATCGGGCGTGTGATACTTCCATTGAATCCTTGGATGCGATCGTCACAAGGTTTGATATCGGTTGGGTCTGTTCTCATTTTTCCGAACGCTCCATACATCAAAATACTAAAGTAGGCCCCGATATCGACAAGGATTCGATGAACCGAGATGTCCCCAATGGGTGCAGTGATTATCAAGGCATCATAATAGGGGTGTACAACCAGATTGGCATCTTGAGTTGTAATAGTTATTGGGCAATTACGAGAATTTATGGTGTCTCGTAAATCAGTAGTGATGACTCGTTTTCTTGAGTTTCGAGCTTCTCGACCTTGTGCTTTCGCATGACGATGCGATGGAGTCGGTCTCCCATCGTTAGTATTAACCCGAGGAATGCAGCCAGTGGGAGTGGAGGTAGAGGAGGAGTCTAGACGAATTTTCTTGGCAAATTTATTTCTCGAATTCTCCGAGGTGGAAGCGAAGACTTCTTTATCGCCTGGACGGATCCTCTCGGGATTGACTTCTTTGTCCTCGTCATCGTCAGGAATTTCGGTTGGCCTCCCCTTGCGTTTGATGTCTGGATTTTTGGTAAATTTTCGTACTTTCGGGTTCCCTATCAGCCTTAGGAGAACCGACAAAAAACTCAAGCATTCATCAGTATTGTGCCCGGGATACTTGTGATAGACACAATATTTGGATTTATCTACTTGATCTTCAGGGGTTCTAATCGATCGGGGGTCAGTGATAATCCCTTTCCCCTTGAGTTCTTCAAATATTGTTGCGGCCCCAGCGGAATAAATAGTTTGATAACCCGACCTCATGTCTTAAGCATATTGTCTTTTCGCCATACGCACTTATGGGTCATTTGGGCCTTCCTTTGTTGTTCCCCTGAACTGAGGTTTCCCGAATCTTCCGCTGATAAACTTTTTATCCTTCTTTTGTTTCTGGAGTCGTCTCTTTGGGAGTGAAGCTAAAATTCGGAACCAACATTGGTTCTTCAGCTATTATGTGTTGTTGTGCTCGGGCCAGAAATTCCTGAAAACTGCTTGGTTTATTCTGGCAGAGCGTCCACCGAAAAAGAGAATTCGGTCTAAGGCCAGAAATGGCAGTAAGAGGGAGTATTTCAGGATGACATGGTTTCATATTCTGAACCCGGTCATTGAAGCGCGCAATATAGTCTTTCACAATTTCATCTTTTTTTTTGTACAATATTAGTGATCGATTCTTTGAAAACGAGACAAATTTGGGCCCCAATGAAATAGGATCGAAAAGCTGACCTTAACTGTTGCCAGTTCCAAATTGAACGATGAGGTAAAGAGTGGTACCACTTTTGAGCCCGAGGCCCCAACGACAACGAGAACATACAACATCGTAGGGCATCTGTGGCGCCGTGTAAGTCTATCCAGGAAGTGTATTGTCCGAGATGGGCATCAGGGTCAGAGGCCCCGTCGTACAAACCGATTTGAGGGACATTAACTTTTCCCGGCAAAGGTTCTGAAGTAAGTTCGGAGACGAGGGGTGAATCGGTTTCTACATCGTTGCGCACAGAGGTGGGAGTTCGATGTACATGGTCCTCGCGCATTTTCTGTCGCGTTTCCAAGTCGGACACTTTCCTTCTCAGCATCTCTAGTTCGAGAGATTCATGCCTCGCAAGACGGTTTTTCTCGATTCGTTGCCACAAATTGGTTTGTCTTACGGGTTGAGATAATAAAGGAGCAGAAATAGGATTTATTGGGATTTCATGTGGCCGGGCCGAATGACTTTCAGCTGTCTGCTCCTGCAAATTGGCTTCTGGTGGGATTACATTAGCATGAGAGGGAACGTTTGTTTGAATCACAAGCCCTTCTTTTTGTGGTTGGGAAATCTCATGGTGAGGCTGAGAGGTCGCATGAGATGCAGCAACTCCACCCTGAGGTTGAGTAGGTTGACCTGTTTTAGTGGGTTGAACTGGATTCACTTGAGAGGCCCCAGGAATGGTTTGGGTTATTAGAGTAGTAAATCCTTTGATAAATTCAGGGTTCTGAAACAGGATGTTATAGTCTGGTAGCACTGCCACTGTAGTTGGTTGTGCAGTAGATTTTGCAACGTTACGACTTTGTCCAGCTTTTGAGGTTTGCTCAGATTGTGACATCCTTAGAAGGTTGATAACAACATTGAATGCATGAAATAAATTGACACAAAATGTATGAAGTTCCATCGAAGATTAACCTCAAATTAGATATGAGGCCCTTCCTCTAGCGCCAAACTGTTGCTATGTGAAATCTAATGATCACAATTTAACGTGATTAAAGCGAGAAAGATTAAGTTTCTGTATTATTGTGAATATATGAATTAAGCACGGGATATTGATATGTATTGTTACCGAGATGGTACATTTGGAAATCGAGGATTCGATCCTTTTTATTACAATAAATTCTGCTAGTTATAGCCGTGGAAACTTTGACTTCTTGGACGAGGTAGATAGGATGACATTTAATGCGGATACCCTTTTTGAAGCGGTGGACCAATTTTCAAGGAGAGTGTAATGATTGTGTCTTTGGTCTCGGTCCAATCAGAATTAAGCTCAGTCACCAGCTTTGGGATTCGATCAAGTCCTGCTCTCGGTTTATAAACAGAGAAGTCGAGAGTTTACACAAAGTCGGAAAACTGTGGTTCCTTCTGGAAGTAGGTCGATCGTCCCGCCATTGACCGAAATGTAATGCTTTTCGAAGTCATTCATGATAGATGCAGGAGGGTATTCAACGCGCTAAACTTTATTACTTCCGGTTTTAAAGGGTAATCAAAGTCGGTTGTCAACAATACATCAGATAATTTTCCGACATTCCCACATTCTGCTATGTTGTGTATTCTTCGTTGTGTGAAGGGCACTCTGCCTGGTTTACACTTCTCGGCCCGTTCTTCCTTAACACTTAGCGGCTATTCTGATGCATATTGGGTTGGACATCCTACTGATCGTCGTTCTATTACTGGGTATTGCTTCTTTCTGGGTGATTCACTCGTCTCTTGGCGTAGTAAGAAACAAACCTTAGTTTCCAGATCTAGTGCTGAGTCTGAGTACCGTGCTCTTGCTGATTCCACCTCCGAGCTATAATGGTTACGTGGCTACTGGCTGATCTCGGTGCACCTCAGTCGTCGTCTATTGCATTGTGATAGTCAAGTGCTATAAAGATGTCTCATAATAATACATTTTATGAGCGCACCAAGCATGTTGAGATTGACTGTCACTTCATTCGAAAACATGTTGCAAATGGGATTGTGAAGCTTGTTTCTGTCTCCTCTACGGATCAACCAGCGGATGTACATCTTCACGAAGTCTCTCCTTCCCGGTCGCTTTTGTTTACTTTTTAGCAAACTCAAATTGATCTCCACTATACCATCTTGAGTTTGAGAGATGGTGTTAGTTATATATTAGTTATATTAAGTATTTAAGGTTAGATTAGTTAAGGTCCATCATCAATAAGGCCCGTATTTTATCTTTATACATGGGAGATGAGGGTAGAGAAAGGAGAGCGAATTTACTGAGCGCATATGAATATATGCATTCGTTGATATGACGGGAAATTATTTTTATTGCCCAACACGATTTTTCACTACAAAAATAAAATATCATATTCTATGAAAAATCATATGATAGTGTATTTCAATAGAAATTTCAACGAATATTTTTATAATATAGTTTTCGTTAGAATTTAGAAATGAGTTTTCTATTAGAATTTAGAAAAAATTTGATCATCCAACGACTATTATTCTAACTGTTTTTTAGTGTAAGAATTTCTATTAAAATATTCAATTTTCGTTGTAATTTTTATTTTCACTCATATTTCAACTCTCAGAAAATATATCGTTATAATCATCAACATCCAAAGCAAATTCAAATAGAATACTCAATCAAAAAGAATATTTTTGTTGGAATTTTCATTAAAACGAAAATAATAGCATTAGAATATCTATAAGAATTATCGTTAGAATTTTACTATAATATATTTCCGTTGAATTGTTTTTATTGAAAATTCATTATTTTCTTGTAGTTTCTATTTAATGATACGAAAAAAATAGTTGTAGCAAATTTAATGGTTTCGAGATATTTTAAGAAACTAGGAGCTTACGTATCAAATTATGTCTCAAATGATAAAGCAGTCAAACAAAGTCTCCATACGGAATTGTAAAATTTATAATAATGTTATTAATTGGCCCTTTTGTTTCATAGTACGGCCACCGATTTTTTTTTTTTTTTGTAGTCAACAGTTGTTCATCACACACTGGTCTAAGAATAAAGTGCAGTGACACTTGGCTGATCCTGTAGGGAACAATATACAGAGTACAAAATTAGTGTGCTAGTGTAATTAATTTAATCAAAAGATGCTTAATTATTATTTTTTTAATTAATGTGGGAGATTAATAAATTAGTTAAGTGAGTGAAGCTGACATAATGAGAGGGCAGAGAGGCTAATGCATATGGGTGTGTATAAATTGGTTTCATGTTTTATGTCACACATACATCAGACAAATAATTATAATTACAACAGTTAATTAACTGCAAGAATTTGAACATTTTCTTCTTATAAAAAAATAATAAAATGGAGAGGTGGGGAGTTTGTGAGGCTGCAGGTTGGAGAAAAGGGCCTTGGACTCCAGATGAAGATAAGCTGCTTATTCAGTATATAAACCAGTATGGTGAAGGAAGATGGAGCTGTGTTTCCAAGTGCACAGGTATATATATAAAACGGAAGATGCTACGGTCCCGTTACGGAACCATTCCGTCGCGGTCGTGGTTTGTAACCATTAGATCAACTATCTTCTACGGTTACATGAGGATCTAACGGTTACAACCCGATGGGATGATTCTGTAATGGGACCTTAGCATTTTCCTATAAAAACATGTATTTTTTTTATCTTTCTCAAAGTATTATTATTATTATTATTGTTGTTGTTGTTGTATAGGTTTGAATAGGTGTGGAAAGAGCTGCAGGCTGAGGTGGGTGAATTACTTGAGGCCTGGCCTGAAAAAGGGTCAATTAACTCCTCAAGAAGAAGGAATCATCATGGAATTGCATGCCCTTTGGGGAAACAGGTCATTTTACTACATTTTTGCTACTATTTAATCATTCAAAGATTTAAGATGAATTACATAATTAACTAATGGGAAATGCTAAGGTGCCATTACGGTACTATTTTATCGGGGTTTGTAACCGTTAGATCATTATGTAACCGTCAGAAATAGCTGATCTAACGGTTACAAACCCCGACGGAATGGTTCCGTAACGGGACCATAGCATCTTCCTTAATTATATAAACCCATTAATATGAATGTACAAACATTTCATTTTAGAAAACTTGGAGAGTGCAAATTCCTTATTGACTTAAATTATTTGTTTGTTTTTTGCAATAATTAGTCTAATATATGTTGTAAGATAGTTAATTTTTATATTATAATTTCTTTATACATATTTGTATGCAGATGGTCCACTATAGCAAGATACCTGCCTGGAAGAACAGACAATGAGATAAAGAACTACTGGAGAACTCATTTCAAGAAGACTAATAAGCCTTCTTATCATGGCACCAACCAAGAAAGGAAGAGTAGCCTCAAACTAAAACAACTGCAGCAACAAACTGATGATCATAGCACATACATCAACAATAAATTTGCAAAAAACACTAATCCGACCGAAGTTCCATATTCGTGCAGTGTCGACATTTTTAATCATCAAATGCTACCGATCCAAGATAGCAAATCCTGGTCTGATAGTATTCCAGTGGATTTCGACTTGTGGGGTGGATTATGGGACACTGATGATCCAAATGGCTGCAGCAAAATTGAGGTGCAAAATCCAGCTAATTATTATTGTCAAGGAGATCATATTGTTCCTCATGATGTGCAAAATTTGATTGGAGGCTATATGCCATGAAGGAATCAAGTTTTGAAGGGATGCTTTTAATTACTATATAGATACTTGGATTAGTCCTTCCATGAAGATGGTTTTCAAGTGACATTTTTGAATAAGAGGAACAAAGTTGTATTTTTAATTCTTGATGCAGACATGGCCAAAACCCGTTCCGGGCCGGTTCTGAGTCGAGGGTTGGAGGCCCTTGAACCACCCGAACATATGGAAGGGCCAATTCAGTGAATCGACAGTTCAGGGTCTTTTTGGACTTATGCTTAGTTGACATAGTAATAGTTAAAATATCGATTAAGTGAAACAAATTTTTGTGTTACCAACAAGAGTTGGCTTAAGTGGCAAGCAGCTTGACCTTACTTAAGCAAGGTCTCAAGTTCGAGTCCTTGTGAATGCAGAAAACTCTTGTTGGGAGACTCATCCACAACCCAATAATAATAAAAAAATATTTCTCTTTCCTCCACCTACATATCTTTATCCTCAACTCAACCCAACATAATATTTATTTTATTTTTATTTATTTATTAAATATAATCTACCATAATTTTTTGGTATTATTTTAGTTGTAATGAATTAATTAAAAAATCTATAATAAAATCGTAATGATTTCAAAAAAATAATATTTTAAAATACAACTAAAAAAATAATTACGGTATTTGTTAACAATTAGGAAAAATAAAAGAGATGTTAAAATTAATAAGGTATGATTAAGAAAAAGGTGAAAAGAGAGAAATTTCAATTGTGTTCCAAAACATATCAAGAGTTGTCTCTATTATAGAGGACAAAAAAATACGAATTGTGATATTTTTTATTTTTTAATATAAAATAATATCAATTATTTGAGTTATCTTATTTTATCATTTAAGTTTTACATTGACCAATGGGAATGAGACAAGTGTCCCATTTCGTCATCCCTTTATCCAAAAAAAAAAATATATAATAAAAACCTACGGCCGAATTTCGACCCAAGGTTACAATGTGACCTGGGTCGCCCAAAATTTGTCAACTTCCTTTTTTTTGTCTTTTAGCTGGCGATCCAATAAGTTGGGTCACCAATATGGATAGTCTTATTTTCAAGTATCTGAGTCGACCAACGGATCAGTCAGGGCAAAGTTCCGGATACCGTGGCTTGCTACCAAAAAGCATAAATAAAAATTGGGATAAAAATAATATTTCAATTATACTCTATGTATCCATTACCTTTGAAATCAAAGTCTTCGTAGTTCTCTAACGTCACTAACCTTGACGAAAGTATATGTCAGGATGCGTTGTTGAACTGACGGTCTAGTAATCGTGGTCCCAGGTCTCGTTGTCCTCTTCATTTCTGGCTGTTACCAGTACTAAAAGTACTAGTAAAATCAAATCTGTTTTCTTCTTCAGCTTCTTCGGCAGTTCGAATGGCTGATTTTGTGCCATCTTTTTGGCCTTGTTCCAGTCACTCAGCAGCATTAAGCCTTTAGATTATGTGGCGTCAGCCTCGACCATCATGTGTCCAGTGTATATTCTCCCTCACTGGATGCTTCAGCCATCAATGTTGAGGCAAGGACAACGAAAATCTTCTTGGCCATTAAGCATGGAATAGGATATATGGTACTCATCTTTGACCAACAATCCAGAACGTCGAATTTTCGTGGATGAACTTGTTCACGAGCAATCGTAAATATCAAGTTCAAGACGAGGTAGTGATCGAGCTCACTATACCCAGTCCCCTTCGCCCTTTGAAGCTTAGCATTTTTTTTAGAGATTAAAATTGTCATCCCACCATTCATAAAAGTTTTTTACTTCATATAACGTTTGTCCCCCATTGTCCATAAGAAGAAGAACGAGAAGCATGGGAAGTAAATAACGTTTGATTTTTTCCGAGTCCGACTGCTGTTTAACTAAACAATTCATACAATAAATGTTTACTTGCTCGACGGGCTGTCGGTTGTTAGGTTGTACACTGATAGCCGCGACATTAGTGGGAAGTGAGAGTTAATACATATATCATAATATTTGGTAAGTTGGTTAAGCAACACATTTTCACGTAATGATGGATCTAACAAAGATGCAACTAAAAATGTATTGAAAATGAAAAAAAAATATTTTAATCATTTTCTTGACAAATCTCTTACAAGTTCGTTGTGTTTGTCAGTACCACTAGCAAAATATCTTAAAAACCCCACATTACGGCTACAGGTTGACTTACAACAAGTTGAGTAGTAGGATAGTAAACACCAGAAAGTACGTTAGTAGCATCTGGAAATGTTTCTATAAATTTCAAACGTGTGTGACAATTTATCCAATCAACAACATCAACGGTGACAATCCTTACATTAAGACTATGAAAAAATCCTCTAATTGATGAGCAAATTCGTATGTTTTCACTTTTCATTAACATTTTATAAGTTGAGTTCCAACGGATAGGATGACAGACTCTTTCAAAGCATAATAACCCAATTGATTTAGGACATGGATTTCTAAGTTGAAGCCCAATTGATTTAATAATTATGATTTTATTTCAAATTTAGTGATTCCTTTATGAATCCAAATTCATTCTGCCTTAGCCAAGGTCATTGAATTACAAACTATAAAAAACATATGAGATTCACTTATCCGCAAAAATGTCGAGTTCCATGTTGGTCACAGATAAACCTCCATACACATTAATACAATACCCAAAATATCTATTTTATGATTGTCCAACAATCAAATGATAAATCAAAGTAAAAGTACAACATACATAAGATTACTATCATGTCTCAAGTCAGAGGATTAGTCATGTACCATTGCAACATGAAAATTTTTACTCGACAGTTTAAAAACTTCCAATAAGAATTTTCATCACACCATGTTGAGTAAACTTGTTCCCCAACAAACACCCGCATATATGCATGTGCGTCTAAACGCTAATGTTGATGGAATGCAGCATCCTCATCCGAAGAGCATGCATCATATGCACAAGTCTTACCGGGTTACTCAATGTCCTGTCTTGAAACACTCATCGACTTGGAACTTATTTAAGATCATAACTTAAAAGTCATGCTCCATGATTGCCATCAGCGCAACCATGCCTCAAAGCTAATAATGATCTAAGTACTTTATTATTTGTGTAAATATGTGATAAATGCAAAGACATAAAACAAAACATTATCTCAAAATAAATAAATTCTAATAAATTATTTTACTGAGCAAGAAAAAATATAATCAGATTATAAAGAGTGGGTATCTATAATCTATAAAAAGAATAACCTTTTTTTTTAAAAAAAAAACAGTTTAACTACCTGGTCAAGTATCTCTCATCATTAATTACTTTCTATTAATAGCATATTATTTCTTTGTTCCTCAAATCATGCGTGCAATATTAAATGCATTGGACATTTTTTTTGAACTTTCATTTAAAATAATATCATTAATTGAAAAGCCTAAAATATTAGTTTTTGTTCCATACACCATTAAAGATCGACTGTAAAAAAAATCTCATTAACGCATATCCGTCTAAAAAATCTCTTAGGTAATCTTACAGAATCCTATCGCATAAATATGGGTTTTTTGTTCCATACACCATTAAAGGTAGGACTGTACACAAAAATCCCATTAATGGTTCCATATACCATTAAAGACCAGACTGTAAAAAAATCCCATTGATGTATACCCTTTGAAAGAAATTATCGTAACAATTTCTTTTCTTAAAAAAGTTAATTCACTCTAAAGTGTAATTGCTAATATTAACCTTGATGTACGGTCGTAATTTTTTTAAAAAGTTAATTTTTACCTATCTAAATACTAATATTTTTCAAATATTATTAACATTTATAATAAGCGATGAGACATTTTTCCCTTATCACTTGCCCCCCATTTTATGTGTGCATTAATTTTTATGCGTACAAAAAATAAGCGATGAGACATTTGCAGATGAATATCTGCAGTGGGTGACTTTTTAGTACAGTTGTACAGACAGACAGTCCAGCTGCTTGTTATAAGGTTCCTCACTCTCATTTCTCTTCTCACTTTTCACATTGTTACTTTCTAGAGAGAAAGATATAGAGAGAGAGGGAGAGAATCAAGCTCTTGGGATTGCATCGATTTTTCAAGC